CGCTTGTATAAATGGATGGCAGAACAGAGGACTAGTAGAGATGGTAAAAGTAAAAATATTGCTTAGACCTACACAGAATATGGCGTTGTGGAGAGATCTGATCGCCCACACCCTAAGGTACCTAAAAAAAAGAAAATCTTTTCTATGATGAGTGAAGGCAGAAAATTAGCTTAAGAAATTAGCTTAGATAAAAGATAGGGATAAATGTTGATCCATGTGAAATTGTGTCACGAGTAAAACTTGGCCATACCACCCAAAAGTGTAAACCAGAAACTAGAATAAACTATTTAACATTTGGAATTCAAACAGATCTATCAATATTATTACCAGTAGACCAGTCAATGTTAATAATAAACAGATTTTTCAGTTTATGGAAGCTGACGTTATAGTAAGCCAGAGCAATATCAAAGGTTAGAAAATATTCCCACTAGAGGCAAAACATTTGCATTTCTAATAAAAATACCTTAAAATGAAATATATTTGTATTTTTTTAAAATAAAAGATAACATTTCAGTAACTAGAGTGTATTTGCTGTTATTTTGACAAAAAAATAAGCACTTAGCTATAAAAATTATCATACAACGGTATCATATTCTGTTTTCGTCAATAAAACAACCACCTACCTTAATTACTACTTTACAAATTGTTGGCATTTTTTCCAAAAGTTTTTGAAAAATGTAGATGCCAGAACTTCCAAGTCATTGAAAAAGTTCACTCTCACTCTTTAAGTATTCTTTCGAATTCTCCTATACAATTCGTCCCATTCTAATTCAATAGGAGAGAAGTTCTGAGATTGTGGAGGCTAAGTCATAATTTCCAAAATTTTGTTCCTTTTTTATTCAAGTTAATTTTGACATAATTTAGAAAAGTGTTTTGGATCGTTATCTTGTTGAAAGATATTATTTCCAGTTATGCGTAAACAAGAAAGTATTGCATGTCTTTGCAAAATTGCATGATATTGTCATTTCTCCATGTTTCCCTTGACCTGAATTAAATCTTCAGCCTTTGGCGATCTCAAAAAGCGTACTGATGGGTTAATGTTGAAGACAAGTGTTTCTCATAGAAAATATTTATAATTTAGCTAAATGTATTGTCGACAGACAAATCCAAATTTGAAATTTTTGGTAGTAAGAGGAGCCTGGAGAAAAAACTGAAAAATAAAAGCAAATAGACTGTAATTACTGAAATGATATCTTTTACTTTAATTAAATACAAAAATATCTTATTTTAAAGTGTTTTTTAAAAATGCGGTTTCCCTAAACTTTTTGCCTGTAGTGTATATTTTGAAAAACACACTAATAATAGGATTATTGGCAGTTTGAAGATGTTCGAGTCATATTGCAAATAGAATGTAATAAATGTAAAACAAGAAAGAAGAATCGAGAAACCTATGACAGCAACATTACAAAAAATCAATTAGAATACTTAGGTCATTCTTTATTGTTTTATTTTTAAGGTTTACAACTATTTTAGGTTTATTTAAACCCGAAAAATATTTTTAGACTGTAATTTCATTTTAATTATTTATTTATTTAATTAATTTTTTTGAGATAATAATAATTTTCTGATATAAGTCTTACTATTTAACCCGTAGCTGGGAGAAGAAGAGGTGGATTCATACTTTTCTCAAGGATACTTGCAAGTGAATATAACGACCCGGACTGGAATTCGAACACCGATTAACATTTTTGAGTCGTTATCCATTACATCACCTGCATATCCAAGCTTACAGCACCTGGTGTTCCCGAGTGGTCATCTATCTAGGTACTGACAAGGTTCAAGGGTTTCTTATCTTCGGTTATCGTATGAGAACTGGTGTTAGATAACTAAGAAGAATGCTAGAGTTTTGGGGTGATTTACGGCCGCTTGCTCTTGTGTGCCATCCACCAGTTACTAGTGGCTTGAAAACGTAACAAGTAGTAAATATGATAATAGTTAGAAGAATAAGAATAAGAATAACACATTTAACGCTTAATTAAAACTACTACTGCTACTGCTACTACTACTACTACTACTACTACTACTACATAAGCGTCAGTCTTCTCTTCTCCTCTTTTGTTTTAAGTGCCAGGTCTCTTCAAGATGGTGACAATCATGGTTCTCTGCATATTCTTTATCGCTGAAATACCGTGGTATTTTGGAAAAATATGAATTGGTTACCCGTTGCTTTTCCCATAGACTTGAATTGAAAGTATCCCATCTCTTAGACTCGCTGCCAACCAAGGCTATGTAACCAATCTTCCCTACTATTTAACCCATAGGTAGAATTTTGAATAGATGAATTCGTACCTGTAAAACAGATAATAAGATGTATGGCATGGTAGATCTAACGTCTTTATCATAGTAACAACATCAATGTAATCACACGTTAATAGATCCTTGTCAGAAACATTAGATTTTATCTAGAGTGATTAATATTAGATTGTCCCCTTAACCACAGTACCTGGGTTTGCGATAATACTGAGAGACGTATGCTGGAAGTCTGAGGAGACTTGATGTCATTCTTTCTTCAGGAAAAACCTTCAGTCATCTGGTTTTCAAATGAAAGTACACGAAATAATAATAATTATACTGGAGGTACTAGAATATTGAGACTTGGTGTTATATGTTGTGCTGCCAGAACAACCAAATATACCTTGCGTATAAACTCATTAATGAATGAGAATAAGCAGAAGATGCTAAACAGCAGTTATAATAATACTAAGCTTCTCATCTGCTACCCCATACATCATCACAAAGCTAATGTTGATTGTCTGTATGTGCCCTGATCCGAAGCAGGCAGAGGATTAGTTCAACTAGAACTGTCATACATAACTACAATTGACCTTCAAAGATACCTAGAAATTACAGAAGACTGGATGATGAAAGTAGAACAAAGAACATGAAAGTAGTAAGCGACTTTATTCAGTAATATAGGAAGACAACAAGTTCAAAATGGAGTTTTAAAATGGGTGAAGAAATACAAGTAAAGCATAATACACCCACTGAAGCTGAAAAATACTTAAAAAAGAAAGCAAATGCAAATGCAATAGACCAGATACAGAAACGATGGCAAGATAAACCGCTTCACATAATCTGCCCGTACCAAACAAATTGGTGTAGACAAACCCTATATCCATCTGTGGCTACGCAGTTCAGGGCTAAAAGCTGAAATCGAAGGTTTTATTCTTGTTGCACAGGACCAATGCTTGTTAAGTAGTTCAAAATGCAGATCACTTGACAAATATCCAGAAACAATTGACCATCTTGTATCAGGCTGCGCGGTATTGGCACCCACTGAATAGAAAACACGACATGACAGAGTGGGCCAATATCTGCACTGGAAAGTCTGCAACACTTACGGAAGGGAAACTGCATGAAATTGATATGCGCACCACCCAGACCCGGTTACGGAGATAGGACCTGTAACAATTTTATGTGAATTTGCAATACACACAGACAGAACAAGCAAAACTAATCTTACAGACATCGTGATTAGAGACCGCAAAGACAAAATGCGCCCCTTATTGATATGGCAGTCCCTGAAGACTGGAATGTATCTTTGAAGATCTTCAAAAAACTATCAAAATACAAGGACCTTGAAATCGAAATCTCAAAAATGTGGCACTTGAGGACATTAACAATTCCAGTTTAGTTGGAGCCCTCGGTAGTCCATGCCATAAAGAAATACAAAAACAAAAAATTGTATTCACAAGTACAGCCTACACCTTACGAAAGACTTTATCTATATAAAATATGTGTGATTTTCTTTTTCAAAACTGCTCAGTGGAAAATGCCATGATGCCATTTCTGACCTTATGTCTCTGGACGGTTTTTTAGTTAAAAAATTCTTCAGTCGATTTGGAGTCACACAGATACTAGTTTCTGATAATGGCACTACATTTAGTTTTGCTGCATTTTCAACTTTTTATGCACAGAATGGTATTCAACACACTAGGACACCAACTTTTCAACCACAATCAAATGGACAAGTGGAGTTTTTTGTAGATACCTTTAAGAGAACACTCCTCAAATACGAAGTGGGGGATCCACAAAAGAAATATTAAAAATATTCATCGGAAATTACAGAGATACGCCCAATCCAAACGCAACAAATGGAAATTCACCAGCTGAAGCATTGACGAACCGTAAAGTTTGTTTACACATCATCCATTAGATGACATCCATCCAATTATAAACCATTCCATAAAAAGGAACACGCTGATGGAAGAACAATTTAAGCGTCATCATGCAGCAATGAAACGCAAATGTGTACCAGGACAACCTGTTCTTGCAAAAGATTACCGTAATGGTAAGGAAAGGGATCCAAAGACATTATACGTCGTTCTTTAAATGTTACGTATGGCGTGGATATACAGTCTTTAGTCTGGGTTCGACATACAAACAAATTATGACCATCAAACCTTCCATAGACCAAACTCCACTTTACCACTGTACATTCTACTGGACGCCTTTGAACTGTCTCAACAAAGTTCCCAAGTAATGCCAATGGACAAATATAGGACTCCAGCAATAAGTGCACCAAGAAAATTCCAGTGACTACGAAGTAAGCCATATACACTGCAATCAAACCCCTGACAAAAGTCAAACCAGCACAAGTCTAAAAGGGGGTATTAGGAAGTGCAAACTTACTTCCCCCTATAAAGGACTATAATTCAAAATATAATTGGGTTACGTTTCTTGTTCGTTAGTTCGACCGCAGCACTTCTAAATTAAACATGGTGACAAGCTGATACGCACATGGAACTCATGGTTTAAATCCAAACAAATCCTTGCTGTTCTCAACCAGTAAATGAATAAAAGTTATTTTATTTTGTGTGAAAATCTAACTGGCGACCACAATAGTTAGACATGCTCGTAATGATAGAACACACTATTCTGCAAAGCTGACATAATTCTTGTGACTATTGAAGTAGAAAAAAAGAAAAAAAGGAGGACAAAGAAGGAAAAAAGAAAGGAGAAGAAGGATGGAGAAGGAAGAAGAGGAAGAACGAGGATAATTAGAAAGAAAAGAAAAAATAAGGAAGAATAAAAAGAAGGAAAGAAAAAAGAAGGACGGGGGAGCGAAGAAGAAAGAAGAGGAAAACAAGGAAGAAAAGAAATGGAAAAAGAAGGAACGAAAAAGTTAGAAGAAGAAGAAGAAGCAGAAGGTGTTGGTGGTAGTGGTAGTGGTGGTGGAGGAGAAAGAAGAACAAGGACAAGAACAAGAAGGTGGTGGCGGTAGACTGAAGAGGTGGAGGACGGCGACGACGGCGAAGAACAAAAAACAAGAACCTGTTGTTATGCAGACATTTATTAGCTGTATTTGTATTTTACTCCAGTTATTTGCTAGAAAGATTAGATTATCAATTCTCAAGAAACAATTATTTCTTTCACCAATTGTATTTGGAAATATTTTAATGCATCAACCTAAAAACAGTGTTGTGGAAAAATGAAGTAAATATAATTTTTAAAATACTGAATTGAAATTGAATGATTTAGATTAACATTTGAGTAATCAAAAGCCGTGGGATGTAGAATTTAATTCTAAATTTGTGTGCGTGAGCGAAAGAATGAGAATAGTATAGATAGATTGTAAAATAAATGGATAATTTTGTTCATATTTATTATTTGTTTTAAAAATGACAAGTGGGTAATGAAATGAAAGTGAGTAGAGTGTATATCAGGAGGGGACATAGTAAATGTCCGTTTTTTGCTTCTTTTTTTTTCTTTGGGGTGGGGTACGATCAGTTTTCTCTTATCTTTCTCATCATCCATTATGCTGACATCTATACAACATTTTAAATCTTCATTTTCAGGAATTGATTGAAAATTTTTGATTGCTTTTATTTTTCTCATTTTCATTTATCTTTATAGAACGAAATACTGGATCCTTGGGATCAGAGCAAAGGATAGGCCACACAACAATCGGAAGACATCTAATAAAAAATCGGCAAAGTGAAGAAAATGCAGTAGATGATAGCCCATGACCTAACTGATGACCAGCATCATACAATTATTGTAGTCAGCTTGTTTGTATAAACAAAAATGATCCCTTTCTTGATCCTCTGCTTTATATACCCTTTCTTTTATATACCTTTTCCCTTCAGGACATGGAAGTTCATGGCAACCCACAATTTCCTGTCCTTTGTAGATCTTAGTAAATTGATCTTTTCGCGATCACTCTTAAACTCTGTTCTACCAATTATTTTCACAAGCTTGTTCGGCAGCTTATGCGCTGCCTTCCTCTGTCTCTCTTGAATTTAATATGCACTGTCTGTCAAATTTTCTAAGCTGTCTTTCCTCATTATGTCCCCTATAAATGTCAACTGTCTCTTTCTGATGTTAAGTATAATTATCCTTCGTCACTGCTCACTTGTTCAGTCCATGGTATTCTTAGTATCCATCTGTAGAACCAAAATTCTATTGTCTCAAGTCTCTTCTTCTTCTGTCTATAATTCATATAGGAGGACCGATATTACATAACAGTTAAGTACTGTTTTCTTTGTTTTTAACTAGCTTTTCCTGTTTATTAATACTTTGCAAAAAATTGAAAATGCTTTCTTGAGGTCTACAAATTCGCACACTCTGCAACTTTCCAAAAATCAAATCGGAAGCATTCGTCTGACTTTTATTGATTCTCTAAAGCAACTCATGACAGCCTCCTGAAACCTGCTCACACTATCAATGCAGATATAAATTTCCATGATTTGAAGCTGATGCATCAAAAAATTGTAGACAATTAGGCAGCAGTGATGAAGAAAAAGAGTCCTCTTCTTTTGCAAGATAATGCACGTTCCAGCCAAAATTGATGCCCCCACTCTCTCTATTCTCCAACCGATTACCACATTTTCCGGGTTTTAGAGGCATATCCGCGCCGGCAGGAATACAATGAGGAACAAGTAGAAAATGCCTTCCAGTAGTTTGGCGTAACCCCAGTTTTTATTAAGATAAAATAAACTGACTGCTGGATCGTTGATAATATTGCGTCTATTCTAATGGTGATTTGTTTTACTAATAAAATTGTTTACACGGGTTATGAAGATTTAAATGTTGTGATTCAAAACGGCCATTTATTTTATTCCAGCTGTAAATATGTGCGTGATTAGTGAAGAAAGCGATAAAAATTAATTGTTGTTTATTTTTTATAGTCACACGCATGCGCAGAGGAGAAAAAAGACTAGAGGGAATCTTCGTGTGAAATGAGAACTTTTAAGTTCCTGAGAAAGATAGACTGAAAGAAACGACGTGTGTTCGTTTATTTGATTAAAGATGATATTTACATTATGACAAAGAAAATTGTCCTCCCAGTCTAGTTTCTACGATGTATTCATAATATTCATTTAATTATCTTTTCATCATTCAATATTTCAGTATCCTCGTCGTTTTATTCTCATTCGTTTACTATATTCAGGTTTTAAGTGAATTTGTATTCGATAGGATTTTTACCGGGAATTAACGCAAGCAGGAAGATTGACCGACGAATCAAATGTGGCGCCATCTGCCAAGTAAAGAGGACATCGCCGGCAGCGATTATTCGCGCGTATTCATTAGGTCTGGATACTTCAGTGCGACAACGGTACCGATGACGACTAGGCGACTTGTAACAGCATCGATAGAAAATTGAATGCATTGACGAGTTACAAATCCTTATAAAATGAGAATGTAGAATACAGTTCACGGATAGTGAATGGCGGTGAGAAGAAGGGAAAGAAAAATATGAGAAGCGGGAAAACCATGTAAAAGATTTTAAAATTAGGTGAAGGAAGAGAAAAAGAAGAATGCGACGGAAGAAGAATGTAAAGACAATATAAGAAAGGAAAATAATTTGGCAGTTAGTTACTCTTTGGAAGTGGCACAAGACCAGAGCATTGAGACACTTAGCAGGATAATTCTTCTTCTTCTTCTTCTTCTTCTTCTTCTTCTTCTTCTTCTTCTTCTTCTTCTTCTTGTCCCATCAGGATGTGGGATTTCCACAGCTTCCTATTCTTCATAGCTCTAATATTTGTCCCCTTACTTTCATTCCCTGTTCTGGCATCTTTTTACATATTGCACTAACAAATCCATATGCAAGACGTGCTCCTTAACACGTTAATGAATGATCTCTATTTGTCTATGGTAATATTTTATATTTTTGTTGTATTTTTCTCTTTTTCGCCTAATTGTTCCTTTGAATTCGCAAATTTGTTCTTCTTGCTCATTAACAGTGAAATAATTATCAACATAATGAATGCTAGCAATAGCAGTCTAGCTGTTAATGTAACAAAAAAAAACTATCATTGAAAAGTATAAAACTCAAAACTACACATATAATTTTAACCAAAGCCTTTTAAGTCTTTTAATATTCTACTCTTGTCCTTGAGTGTTTTTCATTCTCGTTATTTTTTGTTTTTGTTTTCCTTCAATATTTTCTCCATATTCTAACCCGGAAGCCCGACATCAGACATTTTCCCATCGCACTAACAGTTTCTTCTCTCGCGTTTCTCGCTTGTGAAACTATCTTCTCTCTGGCTTCCAACTCTCCTGTCAAATACGATATTAAAAAATCATCACCTGGCATCTCGGCTTCAGTCACTTTCCCATTGCCGTTACGTAACTTCCCTTTCCCTCTTCTATAAATGTTTTCACCATAAATGTTCTTATAAGCTCGTTGGTTCTTTGTTCTTGGTTCTACAGATGGCTACTGAGAATAGCATGGACTGAACATGTGAGCAATAAAGAAGTTTTAGAGAAAACGGAGGCTAAAAGGACACTTATACGTAGCTTCAGAAAAATCAGTAGTCACATATTGAGGAAGGTGGTCTTAGAAAAGTTGATACTAACAGGAAGGCAATCGGCACAACAGAAAAGTCCTCATTACCTAGAGCAGAGTAGGAACAAAACGATATATGTTTCAAAAGTAGCATTTATTTATTCCAGGATTACACAAGAACATTCTTGTTCACGCAGAGTAGGAAAAAAACGATATATGATTCAAAAGTAGTATTTATTTATTCTAGGATTACACAAGAACATTCTCGGTCACGCAGAGTAGTAACAAAACGGCATATGATTCAAAAGTAGTATTTATTTTTTCTAGGATTACACAAGAAAATTCTCGTTCTCCCAGAGTAGGAACAAAACGGCATATGATTCAAAAGTAGTATTTAATTATTCTAGGATTACACAAGAATATTCTCGGTCACGCAGAGTAGGAACAAAACGACATATGATTCAAAAGTAGTATTTATTTATTCTAGGATTACATAGGAACATTCTCGGTCACGCAGAGTAGGAACAAAACGATATATGATTCAAAAGTAGCATTTATTTATTCCAGGATTACTTGAGAATATTCTCGTTCTCCAATTGTTGGAACAAAACGGCATATGATTCAAAAGAAGTATTTATTTATTCCAAGATGACACAAGAATATTCTCGTTCACGCAGAGTATGAACAAAACGATATATGATTCAAAAGTAGCATTTATTTATTCCAGGATTACACAAGAATATTCTAGTTCTCCCAGAGTAGGAACAAAGCGATATATGATTCAAAAGTAGTATTTATTTATTCTAGGAGTACACAAGAACATTCTCGTTCATGCAGAGTAGGAACAAAACGATATATGATTTAAAAGTAGTATTTATTTATTCTAGGATTACACAAGAATATTCTCGGTCAGGCAGCGTAGGAACAAAACGACATATGATTCAAAAGTAGTATTTATTTATTCTAGGATTACAAAAGGATATTCTCGGTCACGCAGAGTAGGAAAAAAACGACATACGATTCAAAAGTAGTATTTATTTATTCTAGGATTACACAAGAACATTCTCGGTCAAGCAGAGTATGAAAAAAACGATATATGATTCAAAAGTAGCATTTATTTATTCCTGGATTACACATGAATATTCTCGTTCTCCCAGAGTAGGAACAAAGCGATATATGATTCAAAAGTAGTATTTATTTATTCTAGGAGTACACAAGAATATTCTCGGTCACGCAGAGTAGGAACAAAACGACATATGATTCAAAAGTAGTATTTATTTATTCTATGATTACACAAAAAAATTCTCGTACACGCAGAATAGGAACAAAACGATATATGATTCAAAAGTAGCATTTATTCATTCTAGGATTACACAAGAACATTCTCGTTCACGCAGAGTAGGAACAAAACGATATATGATTCAAAATAGTATTTATTTATTTATTCTAGGATCACATAGGAACATTCTCGGTCACGCAGAGTAGGAACAAAACGATATATGATTCAAAAGTAGCATTTATTTATTCCAGGATTACTTGTGAATATTCTCGTTCTCCAAGAGTTGGAACAAATCGCATATGATTCAAAAGGAGTATTTATTTATTCCAGGATGACGCAAGAACATTCTCCTCCTCCCAGAGTAGGAACAAAGCGATATATGATACAAAAGTAGTATTTATTTATTCTAGGAGTACAGAAGAATATTCTCGGTCACGCAGAGTAGGAACAAAACGACACATGATTCAAAAGTAGTATTTATTTATTTTATGATTACACAAAAAATTCTCGGTCACGCAGAGTAGGAACAAAACGATATATGATTCAAAAGTAGCATTTATTCATTCTAGGATTACACAAGAACATTCTCGTTCACGCAGAGTAGAACAAAACGTTATAATTTCAAAAGTAGCATTTATTTATTCCAGGATTACACAAGAACATTCTCATTCACCCAGAGTAGAAACAAAACGATATATGATTTAAAAGTAGTATTTATTTATTCTAGGCTTACACAAGAATATTCTCGGACACGCAGCGTAGGAACAAAACGACATATGATTCAAAAGCAGTATTTATTTATTCTAGGATTACAAAAGAATATTCTCGGTCACGCAAAGTAGGAAAAAAACTACATATGATTCAAAAGTAGTATTTATTTATTCTAGGATTACACAAGAAAATTCTCGGTCACGCAAAGTAGGAACAAAACGGCATATGATTAAAAAATAAGTATTTATTTATTCTAGGATTACACAAGAAAATTCTCGTTCACGCAGACTAGGAACAGAACGATATATGATTCAAAAGTAGTATTTATTTATTCCAGGATTACACAAGAACATTCTCGTTCACCCAGAGTATGGACAAAACGATATATGATTTAAAAGTAGTATTTATTTATTCTAGGATTACACAAGAATATTCTCGGTCACGCAGAGTAGGAACAAAACGGCATATGATTCAAAAGTAGTATTTATTTATTCTAGGATTACATAGGAACATTCTCGGTCACGCAGAGAAGGAACAAAACGATATATGATTCAAAAGTTTTTATTCCAGGATTACACAAGAACATTCTCGTTCACCCAGAGTATGAACAAAACGATATATGATTTAAAAGTAGTGTTTATTTATTCTAGGATTACACAAGAACATTCTCGGTCAGGCAGAGTAAGAAGAAAACGGCATACGATTCAAAAGTATTATTTATTTATTCTAGGATTAAACAAGAAAATTCTCGTTCTCCCAGAGTAGTAACAAAACGGCATATGATTCAAAAGTAGTATTTATTTATTCTCGGATTACACAAGAATAATCTCCGTCACGCAGAGTAGCAACAAAACGACATATGATTCAAAAGTAGTATTAATTTATTCTAGCATTACACAGGAATATTCTCGGTCACGCAGAGTAGGAACAAAACGATATACGATTTAAAAGTAGCATTTATTTATTCCAGGAATACACAAGAACATTCTCGTTTTCCCAGAGTTGTAACAAAACGGCATATCATTCAAAAGAAGTATTTATTTATTCTAGGATTACACAAGAACATTCTCGTTTACGCAGAGTAGGAACCAAACGATATATGATTCAAAAGTAGTATTTATTTATTCTAGGATTACACAAGAACATTCTCGGTCACGCAGAGTAGGAACAAAACGACATATGATTCAAAATTAGTATTTATTTATTCTAGGATTACACAAGAACATTCTCGTTCACGCAGAGTAGGAACAAAACGATATATGATTCAAAAGTATCATTTATTTATTCTAGGATTACACAAGAACATTCTCGTTCACGCAGAGTAGGAACAAAACGACATATGATTCAAAAGTAGTATTTATTTATTCCAGGATTACACAAGATCATTTTCGTTCAACCAGAGTAGGAACAAAACGACATATGATTCAAAAGTAATATTTATTTATTCTAGGATTACACAGGAACATTCCTGGTCACGCAGCGTAGGAACAAAACAATATATGATTCAAAAGTAGCATATATTTATTCCAGGTTTACACGAGAACATTCTCTTTCTCCGAGAGTAGGAACAAACCGGCATATAATTCAAAAGTAGTATTTATTTATTCTAGGATTACACAAGAACATTCACGTTCACGCAGAGTAGGAACAAAACGACACATGATTCAAAAGTAGCATTTATTTATTCCAGGATTACACAAGAACATTCTCTTTCTCCCAGAGTAGGAACAAATCGGCATATGATTCAAAAATAGCTTTTATTTATTCTAGGATTAAACAAGAACATTCTCGTTCGCACAGAGTGGAAACAAAATGATATATGATTCAAAATTAGTATTTATTTATTATAGGATTACACAAGAACATTCTCAGTCACGCAGAGTAGGAACAAAACGACATATGATTCAAAAGTAGTACTTTTTTATTCTAGGATTACAAAAGAATATTCTAGTTTTCCCAGAGTAGGAACAAAGCGATATATGATTCAAAAGTAGTATTTATTTATTCTAGGAGTACACAAGAATATTCTCGGTCACGCAGAGTAGGAACAAAACGACATATGATTCAAAAGTAGTATTTATTTATTCTATGATTTCACAAAA